ACATTTGATATCGAACAAGTCCATCGCTGTCTGATTGATTCTGAACATCCGACAATAAACGCCTCATCGATGAATGTGGTCAATAATCAATTCAGTATTTTAACTGCGATGGACCCACATAAAGTATTGAAGCAGCGGAAACCACAGAATTCTTCTGTGGTTTCCGCTACCTCAATACTTTATGTGGGTTCAGATGAATTCTTCTTTAAATTAGTTCACTCAGTCTGCGTATCTGCCATACCTTCGAAGAACGTCTAAAAGCCTTACAAATTAATATCGACCTACACGCTTAAAATAACGAAATGAAATAAAATAAAATATATGTAGCAAAACAGGATAGGAAGACCCATCCATCCTTACATGGATTAAAACAAAGGAGTAAGATGGGGCTGACTCTACCATTAGCTGACCTCGTTAGCTTTTTTTAACAACTTTCCTGTAACTCGAGTACAAGGAGGACTGGCACCCCATGAGGTGACTCCTTGTGAGAGGATCTCGTCACCTAGCCTCTGATTAGCCTGGGTCTTACTCTCTCTGCATCAGTATGCTAGTCCTTTCCACTTCTACGTGCATTCCACAAATTTCGAGTAGAAATTCGCATTGCCCGGATGCCCTGTGCTGATGTGCACTCAAGAATGTTTTCAACAAATGTCATGAGCCTATTGTAAAGGTAATCTCCTATAGCAAGTGTAATATCCTGCCTGAATAATGTCATTCTTACCGCCGTGGTATTTCCTATTCATTAATTTTCTTTCACTCTTGACTTCTCATTGAACTTTTATTTGATTAGATGTATAAACACCGACTGATTTTTCTGTACTTCATATACTAAATTGGGAATTTTCAATGTCTAAAGACTGACATGAAGAGAATCCCGACCAATTAAGACATGTTTTCCCCCGAAGAAGACAGAGGACATTTCTGTCGTGGAAGTAATATTCTGAGGGTCTAAGTGGATCGCAAAACTGAGGTTGTTATGTCATCCATGAAAGTGAGCGTTAAAAAAAGTCAACCTAATCAATTAGCCTAAAAATGTCATTTATAATGTGCAAATTAAGAATTTGGACTGCTGATTTCTAAATCAGTAGTCCAAATTGTCCAAATATATAGCAAATATCTAAATAAAAGAATGGTGTCACAATATCAAGAAATCAATTACGAACTATATTCAAGAAATTTCTCTACATCACAAGTTTTCATTGTATATTAAAAATTAGTTGGAATTGTTTCGATTCTTTATTCAATTTATGGCTAAGATGATTTCAGATTAAAAAATTTTCAAAAAATATAAAAGAAAAAATCTTATTAACTACTAAATAAAATCTGTTATCTTTAATATGATAATTTAAGCTATTTTTTCCGTAGTAATAGTGGATTTGATGAATAAACTTTTTAAAGTAATTTACTTTTTACTTTCTATTTGATGTAATTCAAAACATTCCATATACTTCGCCCATAATACTATACCCTTGTTTGTGAGAAGGTGCTAGAGAGTACACCTTATCCTTTTGTATTTCGCATTCTATTTAGTTTTTTTTATGGGTTTCCATTGCTCCTTATTCAAGAGGTTAATCAGGCTACAAAATGTACATTTATGCATAAAAATCTTGACGCAGAAGACTTTGATATCGTCAAGGTTTTAGACGCATTTCTTGTTATGAAATAATCGATATCGTAATAAAATGGTGTGGTTTATTTCTTGTAGAATTTGATAATGTCTTCTCATCTTTCTTATATCGACTGGGACACTTCAGCATTCAGTTGCACGGTTGAATCAAATTAAAAACACAAAATTGAATTACTCAAACAAAATATTGTTACGATGTGAAAGTTTTTCTTTGGCAGAAAATCACAAATGTATACATTTTGAACATTCAGTTCAATATTGTACAATTGAAAGTAAAATCAACATTCTATATTTCGACAGAGTTGTACACACTTAGAAAGTGAGCTGAGTGACAAGTTCGAGAGATGTATAATTTCCTTGCAAGATCTAGACGACTATGATGGTCTGATTGGTAGAAAGACAATTATTGTCCTGTATATAGTACGGGGCACTTAACTGGACATCGAACCACCAGAGTTGTAATCGAAGGTTTTGTGTCAGTGTCAGAAATCTGCATGGCTTGTAGACATATGAACCACAAACATCACTCTCAGTATGAACGAAGTACACAAGGGTATCGACGGTGGTACGGAAGAAGAGGTAGATCTCACGCATGGGAATGTCCGGAGCTTCGATGAACTGCCCGCGGCTTTCCTAAAGGTGCTACCTCCAGGTTTAGCGTATATTTGGCGAAAGTGCGTTGCATCTAGAGAGGCCGTGGCTGTCGCCGCACGACGGGTTGACCGGTGGGTGTCTGGATGACCGCCTCAAGGCGATACTTCCAGATTTAGCGTGTGCTTGGGTATGTTCAGACAGAAATGGCGCAAATGCCTTGCCTGTCGCCGCACGACGGGCTGACCGATGGGTGTCTGTAAACCGGTGACACCTTGGGGAAGAAGGCTCGCGTCATTCACAATTTGACATTCCCTAACATTCTCGCGTCCTCGTCCTGTATCCCCTTCTGCGTACTTTCCTTCATGAGATCATACGTCTCAAACTCCTCTGTACTCGAATCGAAAACCGAGTAATATAGCTAAAGAAAGGGAATCCTGCACTAGCATCCAAAATTTCCAGATACCCCTGCACTGCTCATGTTTCACGGCTACATAAAACAAGTAAAACGTGGGGGGACTGCAAGGGTTTACAAGGCACCTTTAGCTCCGAGAAGTGACTCTGGTGCCTGAAAACAGAGGGAAAATATTGCTTCGTCTCAAGGTCCAAAGACTCAAAGCCCGTATCGAGCAAGGTCGTAACTTCTTCGTCCTCCAGTCGCCGGCACCGTGGACCGCACGATATGCCGGAATTTACTACTGCCAGAGTCAGAGTATCTCGCTGTTCGAAAGGAGGCTGAGTCCAAGTCCAGGTCCTCTGGTATTTAGGGGTCCAAGACTGCGGTTAGACTAATTCTACGAGCAATGTTCTTGTAGCCCGAGAAATCGTTCTTTCTCTTATACTTCGATGGCTGTGAGGTTTTTACGTAACCACCTCCTGCACACTCTTTGGTTCGTTGGTGTGAGACGAGTCTCACCCTAAAACGGGAGGCTCGTAAGTTGTACACACCTGAGGGATACTGTGGCACTGGTCGGTCCATCCGAATTGACTGACTGGCTCGGTAATCGTCATCATATCAACTCCTTCTGTGCTTTCCCTTTTTTGTTTTCTTTAGAGCTCAAGGAGTTCTCATATTCAAACCATGACACTTTACGCCTCGCGTACTTCAATGAGCAAACCAAAAGAGTACAGTACCAGCTTCCTTCCTTCCTTCCTTCCTTCCTTCCTTCTTGTCACATCGAGTGGAGTTTGAGATTACCTAGGTCACGACCCTATCGAGATATCTGATATTTGAAATTTTTCTTGAGATTCGTAGTGAGCTTGAGGTAATGGGAGTTTACTAGATTTTGATGGTGCCAATTATTAAGCTATGTGAATAGGTTGATCTGAAACTCACTTCTTCCTAATCACATGAAATCGTCATTGGCGTGATCCAAGGCTACGCTCTTTCTCCTAAAATATTTGGTATTATCATGTATGACGTAGAAAAACGTGCTGGTGAACTTGCTGACTATGTCATGTCACAACACAAAATCGATAGCAAGATGGCTACCATAAAGTAACGATGACAAGCACTTCATACTACCATTTCGTTATTGGCTGGTTTGCAGATGCATTTGGCTGATGTGAGAAATGGATATCGATGGAAGGAACTTCACTACTTCAATGATTGCTCTTTTGTGAATTTATGTAGAAAAGATGTATGCATCGTCGTTGATCTGTGCGTCAAACCAAGATGGATGTCTATCTTAAGAATGTGAAACTTGTGTTAATCTATGGTGGATAGTATTTCTGAAATGTCCCGATCTCTAGTTCTTCTAAATATTGATTGCTCTATTTCGTGTTAGTTCTCATAGGCTACCTATTCAAGAAGGTCATAATATTGATAGACAAGATTGGCTAGAACACTATGTGATCTACACGGTTGAGGATGAGCATCATCTTTTCCTTTTGTGCTCCATATTCTTTAGTTTTAGATGTAAACCTACCGTTGATGCTTCAGATTTTTTGCAGTCAAGTTCAAACGCCAGTACCCTCATCGGGTCTTTACATCAAGTCATTCTAACTCTGGAAATTATCATGTTGATAAACAACATCCCGATAAATGTAAAATAAGAATGAATAAGATAAAAGATTTTCATAGTTGAATAACTTCGAACATTACTCTAGTCACATTGCAGTGAAGTTCTGTGCAAATTTGAGATTTGAGAAAATCCTAGAAACTGCATACAGTTTGAGCACTCTCCTCAGGTACGTGAGGACGTACTCAGGTCATAACAGTAGTCATCCTCCTGCATCCGGTGTATCATAAGCTTTGTGGTTGTATTCTGTTTGATACTTATTTCCCAATTCCAAACAAGAGAGAAGTCCTATGTTTATTACCCAAATTGGGAATTTGTTCAGGGCCTCACGGATCAAGTTATAGATCAATACTTCTGGTGGTTTCGCCAGTATTCATTTGAAGTTTTGCATGGGCAATTTCCGAGCTTACAAACTAACTGCGAAAAGAGGCTTATTGTATGACCGGCACGTCATACAATAAGCCCCGGTAGACTACGCATGGTAGTAAAGTACATTCATCGACGTACGAAACGCCAAACATTCAGTCTTACAGTATGCAACGTCGACTGCAAATTATTGCACAGATATAAAAAGACGGATACGTGTCAACAGTTTCAGATACTCCAGAGACTCAGAGTGATCGTTGCGAAGGACTGAATGTTCTTGTAAGAGAGAACTTGTTACAGCAATGATGGGGGGAGCAGACCGAGCGCAGAACATATTCAATGCGAAGTGCGTTGCCTTGAGTGTAGCTAGAGTCACACCTATCGAACTATCGAACGATTGACCGAACAGCACGAGTCTGTGAAAAGAGAGAATCTCCTACGTCTCAGAACTATGTACGTGATGTGCTTTAGGGGGAAACACCTTTACAGTCTCCCATTCTGAGCTACAATAGTCATTATTTATGCCTTCGTTCAGTATGCTCTCAGGACTTATAATTCGAAGGATTCATTGACGTCTCACTCAGCAGCTGCACTTTTGTATATCTTGCTCTTTGATGAGGTGTTGAGCTCGAAGCGCTCATCCCTGTCATAACAACGCGACACTAGGAGGAATAGAAGTGGCCCAAAAAATCGACTCGATTGCGCTTCGAACAATCTAGAGCTCAATTTTCTGTTTTCGAGTCGCGCAGGGTAGACTAACATCTAAGTCAGGGCGGGTACAACTCCGATATCCCAGTATTTGTCGACGAGAAGGCGAGTCATCGCAAGGCGTGCAGCAATTGGGAATAGCCGACCATTAATTTGAGTCTAGAAATGGCAGTGTGGAAGAGTGGGGAGAAGCCCGTAGCTGTCATAGGCAACAACGGACTCGTTGGTCGAGCCTTGGTCAAAAAATTACTCGAACGAGGATACATCGTTCGCTCCGCCATCGGCAGCTCACCAGGTACTCATTTAGCCACTCTTTTAATTGCGGAATTGTTGGGAAAAGTGTACCGGTTTCGTTCGCTTGACAGGCTATCAATCAGAGCCGTTTCATGGTATTGACAGTCAAGCTTGCATGTCGCAGATGAAGCTGCAGAAATGATGGCGTTGCCTGGTGCCGAAGAGAGGTTGAAGCTGATGGTGAGGGATCTCCTTGACTATGCGAACATTTTGACCGTGATTGAAGGCTGTTCAAGCGTATTTCTGACCATCCCCTCTTGTGATGGGCTGAATGGGCAACTCGACTACCCGGTGAGTGTCCATACACAGCTCTCTCGTGATTCGCTTCGTCTAATTTAACCTTGAAATTCAGTATGCAAAAGATCATTGCTGCCAGCAGTGAGGGCTGCAATTCTTACAACGAAGTGAGTTCTTGGAAACTTCTTTTGCTAACCTAGACATCTGCTGTTATTCTGCCAGGCTGAGGCTGTGGATGCTGAGGTGAGAGGAACATTGAATGTAGTCGAGGCATGTGCCAACTCATCTATCAAACGCATGGTCCTCACATCTTCGGCATCGGCTGTGGTGTTTGACATCAACACGAAAACGGACTCTCTAAAGTCTGTGGACGAACGGAACTGGAGCAACGTGGATTTCCTTCGGAAAAACAAGGTAACCATCTTCCTTTGGCTCACTGAGGTGTGCCGAATTGATTATAGGAGCTGCATTCGATGGAGGCAACTAGTAGCTCACGCAAGTACTCTTCACCTTTGAAATTAAAACATGTGTCTCTTGCTATTTACCAGTTATGGTCAGCTCTGGCGAAAACTGTGGCCGAGAAAGCAGCTTGGTCCCTAGCGAGGGATAGAGGGTTGGACCTTGTCGTAATGAATCCGGCGATCGTCACGGGCCCTAACCCAAAGATTTCAGGTATCTCTCCTTACTTTCAGCCCTGGAGTATCCATTGTTCTGCAGCTTACAGTCAGCGCTTCAAATGCTTAGATCTCTGATCGACAGAGCTGATCGTAGCGCTGAAGTTGCAAATTTTTCTTTCGTGAACTGCTGGATCACGTTCGTTGATGCGAACCTTGTGTGTGGTTGACATTCCAGAAGGACAGCACAGTGGAGTGCTTGCTGTCGCTCGGGTGGATGTCGTGGCTGCTGCGCACATAGATGCAGCGGAAAGCTCACAGGCATCTGGGCGTTACTTGTGCTTCGAACGGTTGCTCAGCGATGACGAAGCACTGGAACTGATGAAAAAGCTTTTCCCTACGCTCTCTCACAAGAGGTACGCAGATGTTTCAACCCATGCCCATGTTCATTACCAAAACCACGCAATTAAGCCTTTAGTCAACTTCTGATCCTCAACCAGTTTGTTATGCCCAGGTGACTGAAAGTCTGAATTGTTGTGTCCAGGCTGCAGGAATCGTACAGTCCATTGAGACTTTCCAACGAAAAGCTCATGAGATTGGGGTTGACCTCATAAATTTGACAGGCTTAAAATTGTATGAAATTTTTTATGCAGTCCAGTTGAGGATTCATTAGGAACAGGGAAATAAGGAGTAGAAAAAGGGTATTTGCCGCAAAAGCAACATGTACATTTTAGTAATTCGAGGATGAGACCAAACTTCAATCAGAGCAGGACTCGAGTGTGCAGATTTCGAGCTGATCATATGCGCCCTACCTAGGATTATTTGAGTTGTCGACTGCCACCTAGAAAACCTGAGGACAAAAGAAAGATCTGTGTGGCCATTGGGTCAAGGCGAGCGACAATCGGAGGAAACAATTAGACAGCAGTGAAACATCTTGCGATACAGAGTCTTCATCTATCTGCTCCAGAGCCAGAGTCGTTGTACATCTTTCATACTCTTGTATTTATGTTCGTTGCGGACCTTGAGTGTAGGTAGTTAGTTAGACTCTTTAGGACTTCACAAAAGAGATTCCATGAACTAGTGATGGAGACTTCACTGGTAGAAGCTCACTGTATGGATTATTCTCCTCGTCAAGGAGGTTCGACTGAAAGTTTGAAGATCCGGATGGGATCGTACTCTGCACTTGCGTCAGAGCAAATTTTTCCAAATAAAGCGATGATTGCTATCATTAACAATTTTTTTCCGTGTACTTGTTTTCTGAATTTCTGAGTGACGCAAGTTAAGTCAAGTAAAGGTCGGAACAGATGTCTCAAAATGCTTCTCGAAAGTTGGTGCAGTTCTGTTGGAATCCTAGAAAAATATATTTATATGTTTTACAACACACTTGTAGGAAGAATGATCACAATCTTACGCTTCATCCCTGCGAAAGGTGGATGCGGACGAACAAGACCACGACTTTGTGAAGATTGCAGGAGGAGCGCAAAGTCGAAACGCTGAATCTTAAAAAGTTCTACAGGCTCGGCGAGATTCACGGTCATGAATATTGCAGTGGAAGAATATCGTGAAACTGCACTGTCATAGAGAGATTACGGCAGCTTCACTAGGCGTGAATTAAATGTCCGGGGAACGATAAAGTAACGCCCGCTTCTCTCCTGTCTCACGCCCATGTGGAGCATTGTGGGCGAAGGAGAGACTCTGGCGAGGCCCCGACTGAGCTCGGACTCGAGAGTTTGGACTTGAAGCAGGCACGCTAGCTATACAGAGCCCTTATAACTCTGCAGCTGGCCAGGCTTTCAACGTGCGGACACACACGTACGACGCAATCCAGCTTGACTCGAGCCCCACACTTCGACCGACCGCTGATAGGCCCTTTATGGCTTTCGACTCCAGCGGTACTCGCCAGCATATGCCCCTCGAACTTCCTCCAACAATCGGCGAGCCCAGGGCCACGCCGTCTGGTGGGCAGGGCGCGTGTCTGCTTGCTGTTCCTTCCATCGTCACTCCGTTTCGCCTGACACATACTCATTCGTTTGCACTTAACTCGAGCTCTTGGTGAACAGGCATCAGAATCTCAAACCTGGAGTGTGTCTCTTTCTAAAAGGTGTAAGTCCCAAATCTTAGTGCATGAGTCGCTAGATATTCCTCTGAGAAGATTTTGGACTCTGACCTTAATGACTATGACAGAATTATGCGAAAGGTAATGAAACATACACGATATGTGCTTTTGTGATGTGTGCTTTTGTGTACTAGGGAAGGGTTTTAGCATTTGAAAGCGATACCGTAATATGGATTTACTATTTCGTTCTATTGGAATGTTAACGGAATGATTTGAAATTATTGACATATATTTCACGTAGATTTAGGTGGGCAGAGGATAAAATTGGCTGATCATACGTCTTCAGTCATAATAAAAAATGTATCTTTTCAAAATAATAATATACATTAAAGTTGCAAAAAAATCCATCAAAATAAGAGTGTTTACATGCCACAAAATCAATAATATTTGCTACGTGATAGTTTCAGTCTCTTCAACATACCCAAAGTTGCAGAATCAGTTTACATACGCAGTTTCATTAGTATACTTTCATAGTATATTGACATGTAAAACGTTTGTATCTTTGCGGTGAAGACCGATTTGTTGTTATTTTATTTTAGCTTTATCATTTACACATTCATGAGTGCAAGAAGAATGAAATGAAATTTCAAATCTATGAATCAAAGTTCAAAGACGTTGGAGTTATTCTGGATATTGACTCATCAGAAGTTTAAGTTGTCAACTCTGGCTTAACATATCTTCAGGTTTCAGCTTAATCTTTACAGTAATTGGTCCCATTTGCGACACGGGGATCTAAATGAATTGATGATTTGAGTGTGGCTAAGAGTATGTGAGGGGTGTTCCTATCCAATGGGAGCTCAGTTGTGGCCTCATGACATCACAAACGGAACGGTCTACTGTTACTCGTAGGCAAACCAGACGGAGAGAAACAGTGTTATCTCGAGGTAAACTGAATAAGAAGCAATGCATGATTTGCAAATTCCTACTAGCGGCAGAATCGTTTGCGGTTATGTTGTTCCACTGGACGTGAAGGAGAGGAACAAGACAAATTGTAAGGTCAGATTACTAGAACCTCTGCAATTTGAGCTGAATGGGCATTCCTGTGCTGATTGGGCTGAATGTGATGTTTTTAAAACATCAACGACATCTTCTTGACGTCAATTATCTGGCCTTATTTATTCTTCTGGATAGTGGACTGAGACGTGTCAATAAGGTAAGCCATGGAGCCTTTGTAGGTTTATATAGAACGTCAGAGAACTTGGAAAATTGATAATTATTAAAGTTTTTTGACCCATTAATATGGTTGGTCGAGAAATTTGGACAGAAATTACATAATGAGATTCCTCGACAAAGTCGATTGATGAAGGATTCATTAAACGTGTTGCAGCCATCAATTGGGGCTTGAAGGCGATGTAACCAATCAATCCAAGGTGTGTTTAATTTGATCCATCAAAATACAATCTAGTAGAGCAGGACGATGACAGAGCAGCAAAAAGAACATCGGGTTTAAAGAGTGTTTTGACGCCACAAGCGAAGCCAACGGGAACATATATGCAAGTCAATAGCTAAAGAATACACAAAAGTGATTTCCATATCTCGGCTCATTTTACAAATATGATACCAACTTCGTGAAGCAATGGAGGCAATGCATATCTGATATTTAAGATGTGAATTTCACGTTTGTTGGAAAACTTCGCAGAGCTGGAGAAAATACGAAGAACATTGAGAAAAATAGGCCTTCGAATCATTCACTGTTTTGATTTAACTTACATTGAACTGATATTCTATATACCACAGACGGATCTATAGACACCAAGACACTCAATGACTTTGTATTTCGTACCTGTTTGTGTGGACATCCACAACAAAGGAGGTTGTAGAGAGATAAGCACAAGCCTTGTCATATTGGCAACACAAGGAATGGCACCCCATCAGTTGACTAGTTCATACCTTTATATAGAACATTGGAATTTTTTGCATAGGAGAAAATGTCAACGTAGATGTGAAGGAGCAGTTTGAGGTTTAGTACTTTAGACTTGCTTCAAGTGTACCGAAGGGAAACATGGGATTTACGGTAAGTAAGTGCAAGTATGCAAAGTCGAATTTTCGCAGTATTTGTACACTACGAAAGTTTGGTACTGCAAGGTTACTGCAAGCAATGTGAATGGCATTTTCCATTCATTTTTCTTGAATGATCAAATTCAATTTAGAAGAATAATTTCCAACTTTTATTTTGATACCTATATACTATGCTGCTAGCTCCCAGCTGGTTTCTTATTTCGTAATCATCTAAACCTTTGAGAACATAAAAAGCCATATATGTGGATAGGAAAACATAACAAATCTTTGCCTGTTGAGAGCATACCGTTGAAATATCTATGATCTCTGTATTTGTGGGATTACACAGAAGAAACTAGACGAGAGTCCTTTGAGGTCACTAAGTGAATGTACGTAAGTCAATGGAGAAAGATATGGTCTCAAAACTTACATGCTACAGATCCTGTTCAGAGAAAAGAAAGTAGAGTAGGGTCCTCAAAGCCCTCTCTAGTGTGCTTTATACTGAGTTTAGATATGACACCTCTTGGACTTTACAACACTCTAAATTTAATGCTTCGAAGCTGATGATTGTCAACCCGCACACGTTAATAATCTGTCCCAACATTCATCGCAGCACTGGTAGAGAAATGGCTGATCATCTACATTTGAAAAGACCTCATCGTGTCCAGTTCGCGTCGCCGTAGCCGGACAAATGCCCAGAGGAGGACTGGATATTATCCAGTCCACCTCTGGTAATACGTCATCGGCAGACCAAGTCGATATAAAATACTAAAGGATGACCTTCTTTTACAGGTCATGTTATATCGAACTATTTGAAAGGCTTTAAGTTTCTCGTAGCTTGGGTTTGTGGACCGTTTGTCAAAATTACCGCTTCTTATGTAGTTTGCACGTGCAATAGAGGTTCCATAGTGGCAGCACGAAGCAGGCATGGATTGATCAAAGTAGCTGCATTGTAATTGTATTAAGATCAAAGAATGCTACCATACTTTTTTTAGCCATGTAAAGTTAACATAGACTGTAGCAAGTCATAGCTACTACACGGGGTCATGCGCATTGTCTTACGTACAGTAATAGCATCAGGATCATTCAATCATCACCTGGTAGGCCCTGTTCTTTGAAGGGAATCACTCCCAAAGGTCATTGTAATGCGGTCAAACGAATGACGAATTGGTCAGCGGGATACTTCCTCATATATGGTTTTTTCAACTCGAAGATTATTCAACGTGTATGCAAGTTTGGGCACTCTCAACCAACGAGACAATGTGATGAAGATGAAGGCAAAGAATGTGGTCCTAACATAAGAAGTCAAGACGTGACGATGTCGTCTGACTTCTTGAGAATGAAACAGGGGTTGCATTGTATTAGATTCTTGTGCAAGGAAATTATCTTGTGGCAGGGTTACAAGATACTTTGCCGGCCATATTCCTCAACGAAGAAGTAGTCAGATATTGGTCCTTCTGACCTTGGGACCTGGTTATGACTATTACAGGGCGGCGAGCCTTAGCCCATATTGCGCTTGAAACCACAGGTTGGTACTACAGATGTCGAGTCGAGTGAGGTTTAGATTTGGCTCACCCACAACTGTTCTTGTTTGCCTCGGCTTTTGCTTAAGTAGAAGCTATAAGTTCCAAAGGAGGACCCACACGAACCTATAGTGCATCTTGCTAACAAGAATTAAACACTTTAAACAAACACGACATTTACTGCATTATCTTAGAAGTGAAACTTCTCGTTTGCAATATACTGTAAGAAGACTTTTGTTATGTTGACCGTCTACCCAATTTTTTCGCTACAACAGCAACCTGATGTAGCCAGTTGACCAACTTCTGAGGAAGATATGAAGGGTGCACCTAAGGCATATTTCCCACTGTAATATTATTATGCCTAGCCCCATCTTACCCGCTTGGTTCATCAATGGTCTTTCTATCCTTTTTGCCATATTATTTGGTTTCCTGCATGTAATTTTGGGAGCAAATGGAGAAAGAGTACGCAGATTCATTCGCTGTGCAGATGTAGAAATCTCTGCAGTAGTTACGGGCACGAAGAAACAAAAGGACTCCACCGGAAGCCACCGGAATGGTTTCTAGAACATAATGGCAAACTCATAGACATGCAAGGCGACTTCTGCGCCATCCTGATTCCGCCATTGCACATTACATTACATGCTGACGTGTTATCGTGGGGTGGGCTAGAATGTTGACAGAGATTGGATGCGAGCATGTTCTACGCAGCATCAGTCGATCGAAGGGGCTGGCAGTCACAAACATGAGAATATGAATATGCGTCCGATTTATTCCGAATGCAGATCCCCTTTTGAACAGGCAGGAAGAGGAAGAACTGGTGAAGTAAAGAAATGGATGATGTCCGCCTAACATCACGCCTCCGATGACAGAATGGGCTTGCACCTCATCCGTTCCTGGGTGATCTGGGGATTGCTCAGGCATAGACAGTCACCATGCACAAATATAAAACAGAAAAGCAGCGAACAAACCATCAGTCGGAACATGGTTCCATGATTACAATAGTCATCAAGGATACCTGAACGGCTCCCCTCCTTAGCTTTCTACCAGACCTTTCAACTGTACTGTCAGCAGATCCTCCGTCTGGCTTTGTGTCGGCTCTGCTTTTGATCACCACGTTTCGATACTCTCAACTACATCGGCGGCTTACAAGTACGCAACTAAAATGTTCGGTAGGTGACAAAGAGACAAAAACTACTTATGGACATGGAAGGGCTGAATACAGAAAAATGCAGATCCGAATCAGGGCCTTGTAGGGGATCCCGCACTCGTGGTCTCGATAACAGCATATGATTCTGGAGACAAAGGTGATACCAGACGGAGGATTCATATTATTTTTGCTTACCAGCTATCTAGAAAAGTTGATAGCACTGATATTTAGGAATAAAAGGACACGGAGATGGACCACGGTGTAACTTTACTTGTGTGAAGCAAGAGACGGAGGACTATAGAGATCACGCGGATGTTGTTGACTGGAAGACCGAATGCACGCAGAGGTTGGGGCAAACGAGGTGGGTCAATTTGGGCCTTCTGCTCTGCTTGAGGTTCGGCTCAAATTCGGTATCGTATGGGTCCTGCCACTGCCCCGGACTCTAAAGCGTGGAGTGGTGGCTATCTTTGTCTAGTAGACTCGCTGTGAACGCAAACAATAACTCATCATCGCCATGAATCCTGTTCAGAGCCCCACCTTCTGACCCGGTCAATGTGCCTGAGCTTTCTGCTGGCATGGCAGCCCTCTTGATGCTGGGACTATAAAGACGGCAAATTGTTCATTCAGTGAGTCATGAGCGGGGTTTCTTTCTACAACTTGCCTCTCGATGCTCAACCTGCTGTAGCTGAAAATCATCGTGGATCGACTCGATAGACTAAAAAGAGTTACGATCCACACAAAAATAAGAGCAGAAGAGCACAGGAGGTCGGGGAAATTCTGGAATTGACCTCATCAGACCTCCTATCATTCATTCCTCATATTCATTCATTCATCTGTGAAGATTTTCAGCACGTATTGAGCGATTGTCAATTGACCGTTGCATTCATAAAAAAATCCCTCCCATCCATATCTTCTCCTTCCGCAGGATGGCATCGTGGGACTTCGACTCGGAGGCTGCTAATGCCGGCAAACTTGTGGGAGTCGTGGGACTCTGGAGCCCTGTTGGAGAGTGGTTGATTCGCAGATTGCTGCAGAAAGGCTACAAAGTCGTGTCTGCCCTGCCTACATCCCCTGGTAATTAATTGATCACTTCTCTCTGCACATATCTAAGCTCACAAGTCATCTCAGCATACGAGCCCTCGCGAGCACTGTTGTTACTGCAAGCATGTCTGTAAAGCTGTTTTTGCTCCACCATTGAGCAATGCACTCTGGGCAACCGCTGATAAACAGAACGCTCATCTGTAGCCTCCGAGTCAAATGTTAGACGCTCTTTACCATTCGCAATACAACATACTTCCAATTTGACAACGATAAAGAGTGGTCCCTTCAATTGCGTAAAGTAGATGGTACAATCGACAGGAACCATCCTGGATGCACAGTTCCAAGGCTGCTCTGCTCGGCATACGGTTTGTGGAAGATCGCGTCCTCACTGTGGCATTCGTGTTCTTCCAGAACAAGCAGCCGAGTTGATGGGCATGGCAGGAGCCGAGGAGAGCTTGGAGCTGAGGGAAGCAGATCTGCTTGACTATGCGAGCCTTACACATGCATTCAGCGGTTGCTCTGCCATTTTTCTCACATCTCCCCCGGCGGACTCACTTAACGGGCTTCCGGAGTATCCAGTATGCCATCCTCAGCTTGAGCATTCGACTTGAGAATGCAAGGGATCTTAAGGAGATGTTTCTTCACAAAATAGTCATTTGCCTCGAGCAGAATTAGTGCAGATTAATTTTCCGGTTGGCAATCTCACATAGAAGTTGTTGTTCCGGCTGTCTCTCATGCAATTTAGATCAAGACTATGCTTGATGGATTGTGAACTCTAATACTCTCACTCAAAGAATCTCTAGGGAGTATTTTGTATCATCTGTATATTTCGACTGTCAGCTGGCTGATGATCGTTAATGATATGAAATTTGCAGGCAGAAGCGATTGAGGGTGAAGTGAGAAGCACACTCAATGTGGTGGAGGCTTGTGCGAACGTGTCTTCCGTCAAACGATTGCTCCTGACCTCCTGCGCGTCGACCATGGTCTTCGATGTCAGACAATCACCCAACGGTGTGCAGACGGTGGACGAGCGATGTTGGAGTAATCTGGACTTCTGCCGAGAAAACAAGGTGTGTGCACTGACACTCAACTGTTTCGAAGAAATCGGATGACAGTAAACCAATTCACGTGGGGAGAATGTCAGCAGGGATTGACTGTAGCTGCCGGTGCCATGTCCGGAAAATGCTCACCCCGGATGTTGACTAACTGGCTTTGTGTCGATGTAATGTTCCCAGTTATGGGGAGCCGTCAGCAAAACCTTGGCAGAGAAAGCCGCCTGGGCTCTTGCAAGGGACAGAGGAGTGGACCTCGTAGTGATCAATCCTGCGACTGTGGTTGGCCCATATGCTACCACAACCAGTCACTCTCTTATGTCTTCTTTGAAAGGTACGTCTCCCCGACTATTGTTTCACAGAGATGCATGCACACAATCACCGAACTCATTTGTCAGACTCCAAGACCAGCACTCTGCAGATAGAAGATGGCTGATAAGAGTTATGTAGCGATTTGAACTTTGGCAGAGAGGAAGCAGAATGCAGTTATGGCATACGCTCACGTGGATGATGTAGCCGAAGCTCATATTCAAGCGTTCGAGAAGCCTAGTGCCTCCGGACGTTTTCTGTGCTTTCATCGGCTCTTCTCCAACAACGAGACCCGCGAGCTCCGAGACACTCCATACAGCGCCCAAAGTCTTGATTCCCGGTACGTTCGATCTTCTGAAATTACTGACTAGAACGCTGATTGTTTTCCTCAAACCTCTCCGAGCTTCTCAGCTTACCTTGTGTCAGAATGGATGAAGAGAGAGGACTGACTCACTGGTCGATTGCTATACTGTACCCAGATTCTTGAAGCCCTGGGGATCGACGTCTCTCTCCAATAAGAAACTCCAAAGGCTAGCCACAATGTGAAATCGCCTGGTCTTAATGCTTGTGATCGGGTTGCGTTCCAGCAGAACAAAGAATAGTATGTGGTGGATGGAAAGCAGGAAGTACATATACGAGTATCCCAGAGAACGGAAAGTCAACTAGACTCGTGATTTAACGAGACCTACTCTTAGGAGTACCGCTGTCAAAGGTGGCTGCAAAGAACATTGTACAGGCTCCCGACACCACCTATGTATGCAGAGAATGTACACATTAGAACAGCTTCACTGGTGAACTCAATAACTCTCTCCTGATCTGCTCAGATTGCATGCAGTGAAGGTGAAGAAGTTCGTCCCTGCCCGACCCTGAAAAACCATTGCTGCCAGATCCATGCTTTCAGAAATATTCATCTCATGTGAGATTTAAATCAAACTTTCGGACTGGTGAAAATTTTGGCCTTCAAAAGATAGACCCAAAGTGTACAGTTCACAGTTCTAGATGTTAGGAGGATGAGTCCTCGATGCAATCCATTCCTCGTAAGGTCTGGTCCAAGTATGTCATTTCAACACTCCATCAATATGACTTGTAAGATAGCATATAGAATCACGGAGACTTACCACGTGTGGACGAGCCTCTAAACCTGTGAAGAATATTGAATGAACTATTGACGACACGAAGGAGCAAAGGGGCGTTATAACTATCCAGAGTCTCAACGGCATGTTATGACTTCAGCTTCAAATTAAGCTTTCCGCTATCGACATATTATAGACGTCCAAAAGATATGAGAAGTGATTTTAAATGTCCGTATATTCCAACTCATCCACTGCAATTAAAGGTTAATCTTTTGTCTTTTGGGCTTTTTTTCATTCTTCTTTGGCACCTACGGTTGAGATCGGAGCTATTTGGCCCCCAAAAGGTGAAAACATGGTTATCATATCAGTCCATGCATGACAAAATCAAAACAACACTTAGTAAATATTGATGACTTACTACTAAATCAATTTGAAGCATCTTGCACTTTACCTCGAAGTCATTTGGATTTGACCATATATATGCAATATATATGGTAATAAGGGTCAACTCCTTGTTTACTTTTGGAAGTAACTCCAAGGCCATTTGAATGCAATAATAATATATGCAAGCTTAGGACAAAACTAAAGTTTTTTTTTATATAAAACTATCTAAAAGTAGATATATTAAAAAATGAAATTATATATAAAATCTATATTTGAAACATAGTAAGAAAGATTGCACGCTAAAGATTACAAAAGTATTTCATTCAAAGATGAAATACAACTTTATACATAAATGATATTCAAAATGATTCTACTTTACCTTGTTTAGATTTTATCAACAAATATAAGAATATAAGATCTCACACCCACTATTCATTACAATTCTAGCGAATAATCCTAACAAACAAACAGATTGATAGAGTAGAACCTGTCTAAAATAATCCTCCCCAAATTAATAACCTCCGTTAATTAATCCGTAAATCAGATTTGACAGTCCCGCGCTCGAGCTCATACATAAATTAATATTCCTCCGTAATTTAATTATTAATTGAAATCTGCGCTCCCAAATTTTTTTAATTTAATTTTCCTACATACGAACAAAAAATTCCTACGTAATTGTGACTGATCAGTATTCATTAAGCCTATAAATTGTTGAAGAACTGACGAATGTACTTCTGGACCATCTGGTTGACATGGATCTTGTCAATGATATCCTTCATGCGTTGAAGATAGGGAATGAAGTCTTGAAAATCTGCTTCTTTTTGCATCCAAAACAGTTGAAACGTCTAAAGCATCTTCTGAGCTTCAGTGGAACTGAGACTTGGGTGCTCATGGCTGTCATCGTCCGCATTGCCGCCATCGTCTGCTGCGTTGCTGAGCTGATCGTTGACAACATCATCGACATCCGGGAAGTACGCAACCTCATCTTCTGCGGGGTAGTTCAGCGGATTGCGGATGTCCATAGGGTTGGGATAACGGAACTGGCAAATTTGCGACTCCAGTTCTTCCACGACAGCTTGATCCAGGAGCTCGTTCTCGTCAATTGAGATGGCATCAGTTGCCTCCGACCAAATCTTACAATGGCGGAAGCAGTTGTGGATTGTTGTAGGCTTGATGTCCGTAGATCAGGCAGGCACTGCCATTTGAATTGCTTGAACAACATCGATCTTCTCAGGCTGCTCAACCTTGTCATCCAGACGCTGCAGAAGTAGGCGGTTGAAACGCGACGGTAATAGGTCTTGAAGTTGCGGATGATTCCTTGGTCGCAAGGTTGGATCTTTGACGTTGTGTTCGGTGGGAGATAGAGAATGGTTGTGTTGCAAAGCGTGATCCGTTCGGGAAGCTCGTCAACCGGAATGTGGGTGCTACAGTTTTTGAGAATCAACAGAATTTTTTGGTGAGCCATTCGTTTGTTAAAGTCTTTAAGCCATTCAAGGAAGATCAGTTGCGTCATCCAAGCCTTTGAATTGTTCCGGTTGATGGAACCGAGAATTCCATGGTTGACATTTTTGAAGCACCTCGGATTGGCAAACTTCCCGATGATTTAGAGTGAAAGCTTGTCGCTGCCATCATCATTGCAGCAGACCGCCACAATGATGCGCTTCTTGTTCTGCTTCAGGTCCTCTACTTGCCGTGTGGCAAGAGAATTCTCCGTCTAATGTTGGGCAGTGTGTTAGATTTGAACCACGTCGTTTACAAACCAAAAAATTTGATGAATGTAAAAAATACTTGCATCTGGAAAAAGATGCCGGTCTCGTTCATGTTGTAGATATCCTTCCACTCGAACTTATCCAATGTTTCACAAAGACGAGGAAGGCTTTCATCGATGATCTGCTTGTTCACGCTGCCACTCTCTCCGAAGCGCCGGTGCGAGCGGATATTGTGGCGCTTCTTGAACGGCTCCAGACAAGCATTGAAAAACTTGAAACTGCGGTCATGGTCGAGATAGAGCTTGTCGAGCATCTGTTGGGCAGCTTCACACACGAGTTCACCACTCAGGTTGATGCGGTCTTCATGGCCGTGGAACCAAGCGACGACTGCGTCTTCCATCATGGGATACTTGAATGACCGTTGACGTTTGCTGTTCTGGTTTGCAACCTCCAAATCAAGCTTGAACAGCTTTGCCGACCGCTTGAGCGTGTTGGAGATTGTGTCTTGGCTGACTTTGACGTCGTGCTTTTGCTGGAGCCAGCTGACAAGCTCTTTCTATGTAAGCTTAGGGTTTGCAACGTGATGCTTGAAAAGTTCAATGCGGATCTTATCCTACATTGTGGTGTGCTTCACATCTTGTAGCGGCATGTTGAGAGCAGTTGCGTGCGATTTGGCGGGTTGCTGATCGTGTTTGGTGCCGACACACCTTGGTGTGTCTGGTTGGTAGTTGTGGTCTGTGTGGTGCAGGGGTGTGTGCCTTGCAAGTTTTTAACAAGAATACAAGACATCGGATATCACCCTCCTTAAACTAATAACCTCCGTAAATTAATCGGGCAGGGGGATCCCAAGAGTATTACTTTAGACAGGTTCTACTGCAACATGTTCTTCTCAACTAACACACAAATTACTAATGTGTGTTGTTAATTAACACACTTACTCTTTATCTACCAAACACACAGATTGTTTATGTGACAACTATAGATAATCTATTATAATGTAACTATATCTTCATCTTGAATAATATTTACTTCAGTTCTAATTAACTAAATATGGTTTTAAAAATTCTTCCTTAAAAAAAACAACTTCATCATTTCACGTATGTTCAAATTCTTAAACTATCAAAGATGTATTATCTAGATTCTATATTATTCTCAAATTGATTCATATTATATTTATATTTTTATTGCATCAAACAATCCATTTTGATATATATATATATATAAGGATTTGAATTCGTTTCTTGAATATATTTTCTATTTCAAATTCATTTTCATCGGCTATCAAGATTTGTAGAAAAGTTGATGTTGATTGATTTCTGAATATTTTTTATCATGTTACATGTTTTTGTAATCGTGACATATAAAATACATTATATATTTTCAGATGTGACAAAGTTTCCAACTTATATGACACTTCAACACTTGTTAATATCGTAAAGTAACCAATGAATTTAGGCTTAAACTTTGGTGTCATTATAAGAGATAAATTTTTTGTAGATAATCAAACATATACTTTATATGATAAATCAACTATCTACGATGAACATCTTCTTCCTATTTTTGTCAAATATATTTAATCATCAACTTTTCCTTGACTTGATATAGTGCTATGTGAATATACTTCACAAAATCGTTGACTACTATACTTTTTTTTAAAGCTTCATCAAACTTGATGAAGTGATGCAATAAACAACGCACAACGTATGCAATAAAAACAACTTTGTGAATGCATTGACAACATTGTTATATGCAAATTTCACATGGGACAAAAGAGTATTGCACTATTGTTGATCTTATAATATGAATGTTCCTAGCATATACTTTGCAATTCTATTGGACTTCTTTGTTTGATCAACAATTTGAGAATGATGAAATGTTGACATTGCTAATTTTGTCTTGAAAAAAATTCATGAAATATTTATGAATATATTTTTCTACTTGAAAATTCCAAATTTCAAATCTTGAAATATCAATAAAATCAAAATTTAAAAGTTCTGCAAATGTGATTTTTGCATTTCATGCATCCACAATAAAAGAAAATTGTGAATGCATTCATGCATTAGAATGAAAAAACTTAAATGAAATAAATAAACATATTTTTCATATGATCAAATATTCTAAAAATTCTATCGCTTTATTCCATTTTATATTTTTATCTTACATCAATTTTTTTATTCAAAATAAAAGTTTTTTTTTTATCTTTCATCTCTTGAAGTTTTTTTTGTTTTACTCTATATTATTAAAAAGAATTGATTTTGATTCAACTTACTTTTCAATCGAAGTTTTTATCTTTTTGTCACATATTATTTAAATATCTATCAAACGTGTTGAATCAAATAAAAAAAATAATTCACAATTCAAATTTTTTGAAAATTTGATATAGAATGTAAAAAGTACATTTTTTTGGTAACTAACAATTAAAATTATCAATAGTATTATTGAATGGATCAATCAATTCATAAATTCTAAATCATGTGTCATAAAAATTTTACAAACACATGAGTCATGAAAATCTAGAACCATATTGCATTTAGAGAAGATTTATTAAAAAATTTGCAAGAAATTTAAATCCATGATGGACACATTTAACATCATGGAGACACAAGACAATGTTTGACATCTTAATAAAACTCATTTGCATCATTAAGATCAATTTGCGTAGGAAATTGTAGTAAAATTTAAATGTACAATAAGGAGTATGAAATTGTAAAAATATTATTCTAATTTTAAATTGTTCAATTGTCAAACCGCAAGTGAAGACAAGCAATGGCAGAGCCAAAAATTTTCAGTTGGACAGTTCTCTATACCATGTTTTTTTGTAACGCCGCAGAATATTTTTTTTACTTTTAAATGGTTTTTGTATTATCAGACTGTGTGAAAATCAAAAATCATGATGCTCATGAAAAATAACTCAAAGAAGTAATTTCAAAATTAAAAAAAACAGAATTCTATGTATTAATTCAACTCAAGTCATTGAGTGCTAAACGTTTGAAATTTCTTGATAATAAGGTTGATGGTTATTTTTTGTGCTAATTCTTTTCAACAAACAAACTAAAAGCGTCAACAAGATATTTGTCGTCCATTTTTTTTTTCAACCGCGTTTTTATAATCTTCAATATTGAGAACTTGTGTTCTATTGACGAGGTGCTGACAAGT